TAGATTTGCAGGTTTCTCAGAGCCCTAAATACCCTCAAAGTGAAACTATGGTGTGTGTTGTTTTTGCTGCAGAAAGTTATCTCTCTCTACCTGTTAATCACAACATTTGTGAAAGCTGTTAATTTACTTTAAACAGTTTTGCGAGGGAGGATCGATAAAATTACAGTAATTGTAGCTGTTGGATGAACATATTTGCTGTGTCTGGAAGGAATGGTGCTGTAGTGTATCACGTTTCTGCTGGCAGAAGCTGAAAATGGGTGTCGAAGTGCCACGTTATATGCATGATGTGTAATCTGTGTTACGGGTGTAGTGTAATTGTGTTAGGAGGGTCACCCAAGCTTACAATAGGAGTTGAAACAAACTTGCTTGTAGGCTTGTCTCTCCTACGTTCCAGTTGCTTAAAGGAATAGTAGTTGTAGTTAAATTGCAGGTCCACTGATATTAATGCAGAATTGGAGTCACTTTTTCCCCCCCCAAAAGAGTCATAAAACATTTTAAGTGTTGAGGAAAGATCCCAGACTGGCCTCTCCAGAGAGCAAAGTCCTCACTGCAGAGCAGGCTGTGGAATGGCTGTGCAAGTTTCTCTCCTTGCCCGCCAGTTTACTTCTAACCCATCCTGGAATGAGCACTTCCAGCATGAGAGGGTAGTTTCACTCCTTGCTCCATTTACTCCTTGGTGTCGGAACAGATTGCCTATTACCACTTCAGTTATTGCAGTTGGGTTTTGGGGGACCTCTACTGAGACTACCGACTCATTACACAGGCCACAGGACAGTCATCAGATGTTACCTGACCTAGAAGCAGAAAACTAAAGGTCAAAGTCTCTGCCTATCGTTTCTAGTTGCTGGGAGATAGGTGTGTGCAAGAGAAGCAGGAGCAGATCCTACAAAACTTAGCCAGGCAGCATGGAGAGGGCATCAGGCTAGGGCTCAGGAGATCTGGGTTCCATTCCGAGCTCTGCTACTAGCCTACTGGGTGACATCTGGCAAGTCACTTCATCTCTCTAGGCCTCAGTTTCCCCTCCCACTCTTTGCTAGTCTTGTCTATTTTGAGTGTAAGCTGTTCTAGCTGGGGTTGTGTTTCCACAGTGTCCCAATGGGGCCCCAGTCTCAGCTGAGGCCTCTGGATGCCACCATCCAAAAATAAATACTAATGATTATAAAAGGAACAAAGGGAGAAAATAAACGGAGCCAGAATTTGGTGGCAAAATGCAGCACGAAAGATCAGAGAGGCATTTTGAGAAGGCTGAAATTCCATGCATAGACTACATTTTCTGACCAGGGCATAATGTCTCCGGCAGGGAATCTCTCCAAGCTCAGAGCCTTCTGTACTGATGAGACTGACCTTTGGGGAGAAGGGTGGGATAGAGGCATGTCATTGTACCGCAGTCACCTTTCGAGACAGGGTTAAAAGTATGATCAGAGGGGGCTTAGCTCCAGCTGAGTGTAAAATGTCAGTGGAGGGTCGTGTGCTTGGTTTGAATGTGCCATTAATAAAAGTGCAGCGTGCGTTGCCATTTTACATTAAGGCAGCCTTGCAGAACGGCACTCGCTCACCTGCAGTGTGTAACTTTGGCGACTGGAGAGTAAAATACGAAGTTTTTCGTTCTAACCATCATCCTGGGAAGGGAGGGAAAATAGGTTTTATGGCTGGGCTGGTCAACTTTCATGACAGATTTGCAAAGCTGAATGAAAACTTCCACCTAAACCTGACAGAGTGGTTTAAATAATGCTGAATACATTCATGTCTTTCACCACTCTATGCCAGTCACCTTGCTCCTTCAATGCCCATAGTGTTGCAGTGTACCACCATTCATTTTTCCACTGGAGTATATTCCTGGAGGACTTAACCAGTTCCTGACCCCTGGCCCTGAAAAATGGCATTGTGGTAAAATGGTGACTGGTGCTGTGCAGGCTTCGGGCCTGGATCCTACCTCAGGGCCAGATTTTGAAACTCTGACATCCCCTGAGGAGTACTGTACGTACTGAATTCAGTGGGACTCTTAGCAAAATGCGGTATTACCCCACAGAGGAACAGTTCTTACGTGCCTCTTTCTCCAGCGAAGTCCCACTGCGTTTGCTTTGTCTTGTGATTTCTTGTTTCACCACACAGACAGCAGAAATCAACGCCCAAAGGAGGGGGCCTTAAAGTGTGCTTGGATCCCATTGCATTGCATGGGTCCTATTAGAAACATTGTGGCTTCAGGCTCAGTGCTTCCATAGCTGGGCTGTGCCATCATCCTCCATGTTGCCAGGGAAAAGTAGATTGTACGTCAGAGGGCAAATGCACAGGTGCCAGGGCCAGGACGCCCGATCTGCAGCTTGGGTTTGTAGGAGCAGAGTCCGGGTGGTCTGGGTGCTTTGAAAGTGGACCTGCCACCTCACAGATTCCTGGAACCCAGGCTGTTGCCTGAATGTTTACACCGTAATTAAACAGCCCCTTCGCCTAAGTCCGAGTCAGCTGGCATGGGCCAGCTGTGGGTTTTTAAGCGCAGTGTAGACACACCCTGAGGGAGCTCAGTTGTGGAGGGAAGCCTAGGAAAGAGGAGTTAGGGAGTTCCCGCCTCTCCTCCCGGAAAGGCTTGGGGTCGGCAGACTAAAGAAGGCCGCCAGAACAGAATTGGTCCCAGTGGTGGGCCATGTAGAAAAGGGGCAAGATCTAGGGAGAGACTGTGGAGAAGGCAGGAGTCTCCAATGGAGGGAAATTCACATGGAGCAGAGTAGGCACCTGTAGGCGGGAAGCCTGAGACAGGGTTTGTAAGCAGAGAAGAGAAGACTTCAGTAGCCCAAGAAGGCAGAAGAATTGTTCAGTTTTGTTCAGGTTTGTCTGTGATGTCCCAGGAGCAGAGCCGTCCCTTGGGTAGGGCGAATTGGGGCGACTGCTCTGGGCCCCGCGGGCCGGTGCGATTGGCCGGTGTGGTCGGTCCCAGAAGAGACGAATCCGTCACTTCTGCCGCGGACCCTGCACCCGCCCTAGGGACGGCCCTGCCCAGGAGGGAGGGGTCTGAAATTAGGTGATTTGGCCAGAGGCAGGCGGCCTGCAGGAGGAGCTGGAGCGGAAGATAGCGGCAACATCCCACACTGACACAAGGGGGCGCTCCAAGGGTGAGTGAGCTCTCCTGCATGTGCGTCAGATTGTCTGTTTAAAAAATTAATGATATTTGCACACAAAAACAGGTGAAACCCAATATTTAAAAAGGCCTATTTATGCAATACACACATTTTGCCCTTTGGACCTTTCATTTTTAGCATGAATGTGGTCTAAAAAATGTAGTAAACTAAAAACCATACCACACTTTAAACTGGTTCCAGGATCAGAAACACAAAAATGGTCTTATTTTTGTAAAAAGTTGTTAACTACAAACCAATAGAATTCTTGTTTTTGAGGAGAGTAATAAATCAGCCTAACAAATAATTTCACACTAATGTTAAAGGATCACTCTTGGCAGATAAAAGTTGAGCCCGCTGAGTACAATTTCATGCTTGGCATAGCAACAGAGTTCCCTGTTTTCTAGCTTAGACCTTAGCTGTGCATTATAGTGCTACAGTCATTTGTGTTCTAGGATGGCACAAAGCATTGGTAAGGCAGGATAGGTTTAATGTCATAGGCAATTTAAGGGAGATGCGTTTAAAACAAATTCTAACTCTTCTGGTTGAAGAGAATAAAAGCCTTCCACAGCCTATTCAGGATGCCGGTGTGTTGTGTTCAAAAGTCCATTGTGTGACTAAGACATTTCAGTGGTGCATTATTTAATAGCCTGGCCAAATTTATAGACCGGTGCTCATTTCTGTGTTCTTGATCCTGCAGTTCCTTGTGCGATGCGGGACAGTGAGCAGAAAATAGCTGTGATCCGGGGCACTGATCTTGCGCCACTGAACTCCGTGGGAGTTTTGCCATGCACTTTAGTGGGAGAAGGATCGGGCACCAGGGCAGGTCTGAATGGACACTAACCATGGGTGAAAGAGGTTAGAAACAAGAGCAGAAGCAGGTCTCAAGCCCCTTACTCTAAGGAGTAAAACGTGACAAAGGGAGCCGGGGTTGGGTGTGTTTTAGGAGGGCAGCACATCACTCTTCATTGTAACAAGGCATTTAGGTACAGGCACTCCTCTGTCGCCTCACTCTTGCTAAAGCAGGCCTCGCAGCAAATCAGCTCCTTGCTGAGAGGCAGAACGGCCTTGTGGGTAATGCACTGGCTTGGCGCTCAGCGGGCAGGTTTCAGCTCCTGGCTCTGCCGCACTCCCTGTGTGACCTTGGGCCAGTCCCTTCACCTTTCAGTGCCTCAGCTTTCCATCTGTATAATGGCTGTAATAATACTCCCTTTGCTTATAAACTCTTCGGGGCAGAGAGTGTGTCGGTGCAGTGCCTAACCCAGCGGGGCCTGAGCTTGGGTGTGGCCTCCAGGTGCCAGTGTAACATCAATTAATGCACAAGTGGGTCCTCCTGCTTTACACTCGTATATGTAACACTTGTGCTGGGCAGAGCGGAGCGGGTGAAATTCACCCTCCTCTGCACAAATTTTGTGGCTCATCCAATAACAAGCTGGGTCTCCGATTTGGTTGTCTGTCAAGAAAGTATCGTTCTCCCCACTTCTAACGGGATGACTGGAAGCCGAAGGGCCATTTAGCAAAGCAGTTGGGCAGGCAGACAAATGACCTGCTGCTTCTGCCATTCGGTTACATTTCAGCAAAAATGAGGCAGGAGGCCAATTTGCATGTTCAGATGCCTCTGGTAACGCACCCAGGCTTATTAAGGGCATGCCAGCTAGTGGGCTGGAGGACAGCGAGGAATTGCATTTCTCTTGTCCAGCCTGGTCATTTTGTAGTCCCAAGTTTTACCACATAATAGGAGTCTTCCTAGCTTGTACATTGCGTTATTATAGATTCGCGTGTGTTCGAAAACATGAATTCTCTTCTCTTCTGATACAGCTTCTCAAACGACTGAAAATGCGTTTGTTTCTCAGAGCACAAACGTCAAGGCATTAACTCTCTTCTTTTTTCCAGGTTTATCACGTTTTTTTCAACAGCCAGAGTCTCAGACAGTGGAAGAAAATGGTATGGCCCGATTTGAGTGTCGGATCGAAGGATTGCCCTCCCCTGTCATCACCTGGGAGAAGGATCAAGTGGCTGTTCCTGAAGAGCCCAGGTGCGTGGCCAGTGTTTTTCTTGGGTTAATAATAATAAAATTAAGAGACGAGTGTCTTTTATAAAAATCTGGAATTTAAGGGGTGGTGTCAGGGCAGTTTTGGAGCTAAAATTTAGACTTTGTAAGGACAAATGTTCTCAGGACCAACAGAAATGTATCCATAAAACTTGGGAAAAAGAAAAGAAACTGCCCTCCCCCTGAATATGCCCTTCCCCTGCAGTATATGCCACATTAGAGCTACGGTATAAGTTGCAAAGGATAATTTCATGGAAGTGAAATTGACTAATAACCAAAAATGTCAAACAGGACTATTGAGTGTCTATTCATCAAAGGACTGTGTACAATAGCAAACCAACTCTTGACCGTTTGTAAGTATCCTTTTGCCCATTCAGTGTGGTTAATGATTGGCTGGTACTTGGACACTCTGGCAACGGAGAGAAATAACAAAGGAGACAAATAGCATAAAGAGTGTCAAGGAAATGCAGATATTTGATATTTTGTCAAGTTTTTGGTCCTGCAAAGATTTAAGGACGTGCTTAACTTCCTGCATGGTGAGTAGCCCCATTGACTGCCTACTTGCCATGTGTAGAGTTAAGTGTGTGTGTCTTTGCAGGGTTGGTGCCAAAGGTGGTGGTTTGTAATAAATCCATGGCCAACTGAGACTGCGTGGCTGCCACACAGCTGTGCAGCGTGGGATGTGGTGTTTCACAGGTGGAGCTGAATGCAAAGTTTGGTTCTGAAGACATTTCCAAATTCTCCTTCTCAACCTGTTTCCCTCAGAGGTTTAACAAGGGCTTAACGGTTCTGTTAAGGGATCCTCTGGGACTATTCAGGCAGAACGTGGACTTTCTGTTAGCAAAATACATACAAAAATTAAAAAAAAATTCCTTCTGCCCTTCTCCTTTGTCTTAATCAAAGTGTGTGTGGTGTGGGAAGGAGAGGAGGACCCCGGGGGCTAGTGCCTGATCTGCAGACTTCATAGCTCTCTCTGGATCTGATGACGACCTTGTCCTTTAGTCCCTTAAAGTTTGGTAGGTTTCATTTTCTGTGGAAAGAGTCATTCCCCCAGAGAGGAAAGAGGAGAGTCATTCCCCCAGAGAGGAAAGAGGAGAGTCATTCCTCCAGAGAGGAAAGTTAACCCACGCAATGAGCAGGGGGAAAAAGGGATTAAAAAAAGAGACCCAACGAGATTCAGAAATGATTTGGGAACAAAGGCTGTTTCTGTAAGAATAGCTGTTTATATCCTTGAGGCTGTCATGCGGCGATCTGAAGCTTGTGGGAGGTTTTTGCTTTGTATGAGAAGAAAAATAAGTGTTTTTTTTTAAAAAAAGAAAAGGTGTGGTGGGAGTGGGTAGGGAAGCATGCCATAGATAGGGCAATGGCTTTTTAATATGACAGCTCGATGGATGTTGCGAAATTACTTGCGTGGAGATTGCTTTCAACATAGGCGGCTTGAAAATTGCTTTCTTTGTAACAGCCAGACATAATCATTGGCTTCAGATCTTGCTTTTAAATCATGTTTAGCTAATATACTATTTCAGGGAGATTTGCTTTCTGTTGTTGACTTTATACAATCGGCTTTTGAAAGAATTAAGTGTGCCCAAGGAAGTGCTGGCCACGGAACGTTTGCTCCGTCCATCAGCCATACCCCTCGTGCCTAGGGATCTCAGAACGCTGGGCACGCTTACCTGACACAGATGGGTGTCAGGACCCAATGGCAGCATTAACCCAGAATCTCTCTGCAATACCAGATTCCAGGCAAGCCTTAAGCTGGCCACTGATTTTTGCAGCTCACCTTTGTGGAGGCATCCAACTGGGTCTTTGGAAGTGCGTCCATTTGTGCCCCATCTGACAGATGATGATAACCTACAATACACAAGCAGCATATGGAAGTCAGCTTTGATAGACCGTGAGCTGTTCAAACTCAATGTTGACACTGCAGCACTCCAGGAAACAAGACTTGCAGATGCTGGTTCTGTCCAAGAAGCCAGTGACACCTTCTTTTGGCAAAGTGAAGATTACAGCCAAGAAACTACATAGAGCAAAACCTAGGAGCAAGCTCAAGATCAATGCTATTAACACCAAAAACCAGAGGAAATGCCAGGATTTTGAATTTAGCATGCAAGGGAAGCCATTACCAGAGAATGCAAAGGAATTTTGGGAAGATTTAAGAACAATAATCCATGAAACAGCTTTAGGGGAAAGAGATCATCCAAAAAGGACCAGTTTGAAGAAAATGAAGCAGAACTATTACCTCTCATCAACATTAAGAACACATTACTGGATCAAGCTCTGTGAAGACATACAGACAGCCTCAGACACAGGAAACCTCTAAGTCATGTATGACGGGCTGAAGAAAACTCTAGGTCAGGGGTCGGCAACTTTTCAAAGAAGGAGAGACATTTTTTTGTTTTTGTCTTCGACCAAAATATTTCGAGAGCCACCTCACACGCAAAGCTACTTGTAGAGTTAGAATTTATCAACTAATAAAAGGTTCCCGGCCAGTGGGAGTGCAGAATCGATGCTTGGGGCGGGGGCAGTGTGCGGAGCCCCGTGGCCCCCCTGCCTAGGAGCTGGACCTACTGGCTGCTTCCGGGGTGCAGTGTAGAGCCAGGACAGGTAGAGACTAGCCTGCCTTAGCTCTGCAGTACCGCCGACCGGACTTTTAACAGGACACCTGGTCACCCTAGAGGAAGTTGGTGGCAAAACTCGGATTGATTTCAGTGGGGCCACGAGTTCACTGGCAGTATGTTCTCTGTTTTTATGGAGACTTTACTTTTGTTTCTTGTTTTTATCCTAACCTGCAATGAAGGTCATTTGGACAGAAAGGTTACGTCTGCTCTTTGTGTACTAAAAAAGGGATAATGCCAGAGTCTCCCGAAAATTCTGAATCATTAGGCAAACTTTGCTACATTGCAGTGGGAAATAAATACAGGTCTGTCTCATCTTATGTGGGGGTTCCGTTCTGCGGTTAGCGCCTAAAGCGAAAACTGCGTATAGTCAAAATTACATTGAGTTGAATGGCGGGCGGAATCGCCCGCAGTACAGGTACAGTATTAAAATTGTTATTTTTCTCTTTTTTTGTTTTTGTTTTTGCCGATCGCGTAAAGCTGAAATCACGCATGTTAAATGTGCGTAAGATGTGACAGACCTGTACCGTATATACCTATTCATTAGCCCATTCGTTTATAAGCCGACCCCCCAAAATGGATAGGTAAAAATAGCAAAATCTGAATGATCCTTTCATAAGCCAACCCTATATTTCAGGGGTTGGAAAAATTTGGCTCCCAGCCTGTCAGGGTAAGCCACTGGCGGGTCGGGACGTTTTGTTTACCTGGAGCGTCTGCAGGCACGGAGCCCCTCAGCTCCCTGTGACCGCGGTTTGCCGTTCCCAGCCAATGGGAGCTGCAGGAAGTGGCTCCGTAGCTCCTATTGGCTGGGAACGACAAACTGCGGCCACAGGGAGCTGAGGGGCTCCATGCCTGCAGATGCTCCAGGTAAACAAAATGACAATGTATTAGATATTCAATTCAATGATTCCATGGAGTTTAAAATCATCAAATTTTGGTGTAGACCCGTTTATAAGCCGACCCCCGCTCTTTGATGTGTCATTTTAAACCAAAAATATTTGGCGTATGAACGAGTATATACGGTACCTACTCCGAATTCTTTTGATGTCTCTAGTTGACGAGCATGACTGTGGTGAGCACAAATAGTTGGAAGCTTTGAGATCTGTTGGGAAAGATGAGTATAAAGATGTCTTTATCTTGTGTGCCCATGCTTTCCTCGGTAGAGCCATACGTCACACACCTTGCGTTTGGGTTGGAAATACAGTCCCTAGTAGTGGCTGTACTTCGAAGCCGTCTCTGTACTTTAGGGCTCTCAAAAATGATTGTGTTAAACATATTGGATAGCTGGTGACCTTGGGGTTTTTCTTTATGCTAAGACATGGTACCTCTCCCCAATTACCCCTTCCCCTTCGTGCGGTTAGGACTCCTAAAGGCTGAGAGTAATTGAGGATAGTTTACATAGCACATACACACAGATAGATGGCTCAGACATTGCAACGGAACATCATGTTTACCTGTATGTGGTACCCCTCCTCCGGTCAGTGTGCCTCTTAGATATGTCTACACTGCAATCAGAGGTGTGACCGCAGCATGTGTAGACATACCCGAGCTAGCTTTGATCTAACCAGCGCAGATAACAACAGCAGTGAAAGGTTCTGTAGCATGGGCTGCCTGGGGGCCCTGGATATGTATGTGAGCAGCTAGCCTCTGACATAGCCTGTCATTGTAGACAGGCCCTTAGATTGAGCTTTTTGGAGCCCGTGTTCAGTTTGTAGTACAGCACCGAGCACACTGGGCATGCGACCAAAAACTGGCCGTGAGAGCTAATGGTGTTAAACTCCCTCTGAGGACGTTGGTTGGCTGTTTTTGTAAACTGGATTTTCCATCTCAACAGGCGGCTCCAGCATCGCAGAGCCGAAAGCGATTACGTAATGGATCTCAGCCATATGCTTTTGGAAGTGTGTTTGACTTCTATATTTGGAACCGGTAGATGCCTTTCCTGGTGTTTGAAATATGTTGATAGTAATTACGCACACTCAGAGCAGATGCGCGATAAAAATAAATCTCATCGCACTGGGAGCTTTCTCGGCAGAGATAGAGAGAGACATGTTTGGCTTAGTGCTGCTGCATTCGGCCAAGGAGCCCCCACGGTGGCTCTCTGGATAACTGCTGTCCCGTCAAGGGCACACGTGGCCTGGTCCTGCAGACCTGACTCACGTGAGTGGACACGCTGGCTCCAGCAAGATTACTCCTGTCAGTAAGGTCTGCAGGATGGGCCCCGTGGTGACAGCATCACTTCCCTGGCTGAGTTGCCTCAAAATGCTCTCTTCGAATTCACCAGCGTACACAAGAGGGGGGAGCTGATGCCTGAAGACCCAGCTGGCTCAGTGAACAGAGAACCTGGGCCATGGGTGGTGCTACAGACAGCCGAGTTTCCCATCAGGACTTTCTGGAGTGGAGCAACAGGATCGTGAAACCTGCATTCGTGCTTGTTGCTCCTCTCCCTTCCGTACACACAGAATATCTGCTGCCCCTTCCTTACCAATCAGCTTTCAGTGCATCCTCTTCGCGAGGAAGGCTGGTAACCCAGAGCTGCCTGTCAAAGCTCTGCAGCTCTGTTTATAGCCTTCTTCAATTAAAACTGGGTCTCATCTATAATTAAAAAGGCTCATGTAGGCTTGGGCCTTATATTAAAAAATAAAGACGCTGCCGTGTAGGAATCCAGGCAGAAAATGAAGAACCTGACAGCCAGCTTGTTCTTTGTGCTAATTGCTAATCAGGTGTATGATTCAGTATAACACCGTATAAGCTGGGTTTTTAATTACAAGGCAATGGATCCATCAATAGTCAGCCACGGTAGCCTGGTTGGTAGGTGGCCGTAACCGTGCTTTGCGTAGTTGCCAGGTGTGGTCTAGTGCAGGGGTCGGCAGCCTTTGGCACGCGGCTCACCAGGGTAAGCACCCTGGTGGGCCGGGCCGGTTTGTTTACCTGCAGCGTCTGCAAGTTCGGCCAATTGCGGCTCCCATTGGCCGCGGTTCGCTGTCCCCATCCCTTGGCCCGTGCCACTTCCTGCAGCCCCCATTGGCCTGGAGCAGCGAACCGCGGCCAGTGGGAGCCACGATTGGCCGAACCTGCGGACGCTGCAGGTAAACAAACCAGCCCGGCCTGGCCCACCAGGGTGCTTCCCCTGGCGAGCTGCGTGCCAAAGGTTGCCGACCCCTGGTCTAGTGACTGGGAGTCAGAAGACCAGCGTTTGACCCCCAGCTCTGGCACTTTGTAACACTAGTTGAGTCACTTCTCAACACTTCTGTGATGATCAGGGCAATGCCTTCCTATATAAATTGCTTTGAGAGCCCTGGGTAAACAGCGTTGTTCAAGCGTTGATTATTATTAAATATTGTCGGCTGGATGCTGAGCTACTGTTAATTGGCTTAGCTTCCTTGACTTCAGTGAATCAATGGATTGACAGCAACTCAGGATCTGGCCCTTCTGTTATTGCACCTGAACAAACTATTTTAAGCTGTTACTCCTATAGGGCCAGGTCCTGATTTTAGTTTTACTGGGCACAGCTGAAAAGTTTGTACTATGCTGAAAGCTATGAATGATCCTAGCAGTTTTCTAATGGCGCCTCTGGGGAAAACGTCCCATATTGGTGATTTCTTTTGCAATGGTCAGCACTTTTTCACTGCCCCGTTGTAAATTCAGAGTGGCTTTAGCAGAGTCGAAAACCAGACACCTGACAACCCTCGTGTGAGGTAGGGAAGTCTTTTATAGCAGTGGTTCTCAATCAGGGGCACGCAGAGGTCTTCCAGGGGGTACATCAACTCATCTAGAGATTTACCTAGTTTTACAATAGGCTACATAAAAACACTAACGAAGTCAGTACAAATTAAAATTCCATACAGACAATGACTGCTCTATCTACTTCTACTGAAATGTAAATACATTATTTATATTCCAATTGATTTGTTTTATAATTCTGTGGTAAAAATGAGAACGTCAGCGATGTTTCAGTAACGGTGAGCCGTGACACTTTTGTATTTTTATGTCTGGTTTTGTAAGCAAGTAGTTTTTAAGTGAGGTGTAACTTCGGGGTACGCAAGACAAATCAGACTTCTGGAAGGGTTACAATAGTCTGGAAAGGTTGAGAACCACTGCGTTTTACTGAAGGGAGAAACTGAGGCACGGAAAGATAAAATTACATGCCTGAGGCCAGCTAATGAATCAGTGGCATAACTGGGAAGAAAATCCCTGATGCCCAGTCCCTCTCTCTAAGCACCAGCACTTTACTCCCCTGTGGAGTTGTTAAAGCCAGTATGCGATAGGCATTGCTTAGTCTGTAACTCCCTTTCTCCTCACCCAGCGTTCGATTACAAACATCTGCTGATCAAAAGAGCATGGCTTCCAGGGCAAACTTCTTTTTATTTTTGGAGCTGTTGCGAGGCAGTAGTTCATTATCGATATCTAATTATTTGCACATGTTTGATGCATGGTCCCATGTATTTAGCTTCCATGCAGAAAATGCAGCTTCCTGCTTTGAGACATCAGAAAATCGTTTAATGAAGAGTTCATTTAAAACAACCGTTCCTGGATCCTCATTCTAGGGCAACTCCCTGAAATCCTGTTTGGAGGGGGAAGGTGCTTAGAGGGTCTGACACTTTGTTCAAACAAAGGCAAATATAGGGGGTTTCTCAACTGGGAAGAGCAGAGTGGCTGGTAGGCGATAGGCAAATTAATTCTGTCACCTGCCTGCATGCACAGCCAAATATATTTGTCTGTTACTCCTACGCGTGTGTGTCAGATGGCAGGGGAAACAGATTCTTCAGCTCCCTTCTCAATAGCTATTATGTCCCTGGTTGTTTGGGGGGAGGGGATAGCTCAGTGGTTTGAGCATTGGCCTGCTAAACCCAGGGTTGTGAGTTATATACATACCGTTACAGGTTAATAGATGGCATTCTTCCTACTATCTATCTACCTACGTATGCAGACACACACTCATCATATGTCATCTGAAGGAGTGAGGTTCTTACCCACGAAAGCTTATGCTCCCAGTACTTCTGTTAGTCTCAAAGGTGCCACAGGACCCTCTGTTGCTTTTTACTCATCATATGTGTGTGTGTGTGTGCATATAGTTTTTAATATAGAATGTTTTCTGCAGCAGAGACCTGTAGGCTTAGTCTGAAGAAGGCAGAAGTTTTATTGCTGCGTTGACTCCATTGCTATTAATGGGTTGTACATTTTGCTTTATTTAAAACTCTCCTATTGGGAGGTTAAAGAGCTTCTTGCCCACTCTTCTCTACCAAGGCCTTGGTGATGTGCACATAATACACTCTCAAGTATAAAGAAGGAATGAAAATAGCTGCATTCCAGCGGCTAGGGTATGAATCGTGTTAGCTGTGAAAAGCAAATCTCATGCTCTTTATTTTACTCATTCAGGTTTATAACTCTTCCCAATGGCATCCTCCAAATCGTAGATGTGCGGGAAAGCGACGCTGGGGGCTATCGCTGCGTAGCGACCAACGCAGCACGGAAACGCTACAGTGACGATGCTGTTCTTAGCGTCTTAAAAGGTAAGGCACAAAAGGACATTTGTATGGCTGTGTAAAACTGAGCTGAGGCGTCTTTCTTATAAATAGTGAAGCTGCCGTGAAATGCTGCTGAGGGTATTCTCCCTGTGGGTATGACATCAATTGTGGGATAGTTGGACTCTTTCTAGGGGGGCCATGGACAATTTAAAATTGACTATATTTATAATAATAGGGTATTTTTGCATCCGTTACTTACAAGTGCTGCACTGACTTGTACAGCTTATTCATGTGTTGTACTCTATGGGCAAAATTCTGATGCGGGGTGGTGTTTTTACCTAAGAGCTAGTCACGGCTGCCGTTCCTGGTCCTCGGCACCCTAAAACCCCTGGAGCTGCCCTGTGTGTTTTCTGTGCATTGAACCATAGAAGGTTCAGTGGTGCGGTGGGGGTATCTGGCATCGATGCATCCTTAGTTTGGGATTTTCAAAGGTGCCAAGGGGTCACACCCAAATCCCACACTTAGGTTCCTTTGACTGGCCCAGCCCAAGTCTCTATGCACCCTCCCTCATTAGGGTTGTCTGTGCTGCATGAATGAGTAATCTGCATGGGCATCTGAACAGGGGCTGCACAGGGGTCACTGTGTGACCAGGACACCGGTGCAAACCAATGCAGGGGTGTTTCGTGCCACTTCCCGGAGGTGAGAGTGAAAGGGTCCAGATAGGTCTGATCCCTGCACTGCTTCACACCTTGTTCGTTCTGTGACTGTGGCTGGCTCTGTCGGAGATAAGGGCAGATAGAACCATGACTTTTTCCCAGGCCTGCAGGGTTACCTCTAGTGCAGTGTTTTGTAGACATGTTTGCTGGAAGGGTCGCGTTCTAGTTTGGTGCATGTTTCTTGACTGGAAGGAATGGAAGCCTCCCTCTCTCAGAACTGAAAAGAGGATGGCGGCGGGATCAGGGGAAGCAAATACAGCCTCTTCTGTGTAATAGAGTCTGCTGGGTTGATTTCTCTGTTTTGTATGCCATTTCCGTGATAACTTCGTGACACCTTATCAGGGATCCAAGTTGTTCCATTCGACCAGGATCTCTCGGTCTCTCATATAATTTAGGCCTTCATACTCCACTCAGTACTGTCTACATTGGTGCTGGATGGTGGTGGGATATCAGAGTGTGACTTCACTTGAGGGATGATACTTGAGCACGGAACCTGAGCCCAGGAGGGGGATGGGGCCAGGTGACACCTTCTGCCCGGGAAACTGGACAAAGGCTGGAGGAGGAGGCGAGGTGTGTGGCTGGGTGAGACTGCTGGAGGTGGTTTCAGTTTGGAGCTGGCTGGGGAAATGGAGGGAGGCCCAGGACCGGGGCCTGGGCTCCCAACCCCCCAGGATGGACCTGACTGAGGGGTCCTGTTTCCTGTACCTGCAAGCTCTGTTTTGGACTGTGTTCCTGTCGTCGAATAAACCTTCTGTTTTACTGGCTGGCTGAGAGTCATGGGTCACTGTGGTATCTGAGACATGTACATGTAATATCCCACCATTCCTGACCAACATAAAACCCACTTTGGGGGCAGATGGAGGCCAGTTTTCTTCCTCCAACCAGACGTTGTCAGACAGGCTGTTGTGGCCAAGGGTTCAAAACTCGTGTGAGATGAATATTTTAAAGATTTTGTTGGTTAATCAGCTTGTTTAGAAAATGGAATTGAGTTGTCTGGGAAAACAGCAGGCTGGTTTCTCTTTTGTAAGTTTGGGTTCTGTGTTCCATTTCTTTTTCCCCTCTGGTTGTTTTTCTTGGTGGGAAGGAACTGTTTTAATTGGAGACCTCTTGAGCCTTGGGAGCTACAGCATGGAGATCCTTATCAAAACTTAGCAACATACAGAGTTTCTCATGGGGCTCAGAGATGGATTCAACTTTAATCAAAGCCCATTCAGTGATCCCATCTTCAAACGATGTGTAATAAGGAGTCGTTTTAGATATATGCGTTCCTTCTGATCACTCCTAAAGAGGAGATACCTCCCCCCTTAGGAATTCAGTGGTAATAACTTTAGGTCCCTGGAATTCAGCCTAGATGACTTCAGGTCAGGAATAAACAGCAGATGAACCTTTTAAAGACCACGGTCTAGTTCTCACGCAACGTGCAATAGGTCTGAGCTACAAGAACATTGCATTGGTGCTTCTGGATCTCGTCCATCGCTGGATAAGCAACAAGATGACTAGAGAGAGAGAAAAGATTGCACCCGATGAGAATTCTGCCTAAACGACGTTTTCCAAAGCTTTCCATGGAACCCGTTTTGCTCTTTGGGAACGTCACTTGCAGGAGAAGGAGGGTAAACGTGACACTCTGAGGCATTTAAAGGCTTTGGTCATGTCCATGCTCAGCTGCTGGTGGTGGGCACTGTGCAGAACAAACCGCATCCTTTCAAAGAAGCCTTTCCTATGTTTTCAAAAGTGGCCCCATGTCTTTCATGCATAATCATCCAAGTTAAATAAAATATATGGAGATATACCTATCTCACAGAACTGGAAGGGACCCTGAAAGGTCATTGAGTCCAGCCCCCTGCCTTCACTAGCAGGACCAAGTACTGATTTTTGTCCCAGATCCCCAAGTAGCCCCCTCAAGGATTGAACTCACAACCCTGGGTTTAGCAGGCCAATGCTCAAACCACTGAGCTATTTCCCCCTCCCCGCTGTTCGTGGATGGAGCTGCCTTGGAAGCTGTCCGGGTCTCCTCTGATCTACGGACACTGCCTGCAGCTTGGCCATGGAGATCCCAATTTCTGCAGAGCAGGGATTGACTTGCTCAGAGACGCCACAAAGCGCGCTAAGCCATTTGACGGCTGGGATCTCCAGGGCAGCATGGGCTGGGCTGGCAGGCAGAGGCAATGTGCTTGCTGTAAGAGGGGGCCTCTCCATTTGACCTCAGACCAGTGGCACCTGCTGACGCTGGGGGTGAAATCAGTCCAGTGGCTTTTCCAGTGGCAGTGGCCTACAGAAGGTGCAGCAGGAGGTTACTCTTCCATCAGTGTTGGGTGAGAGGATCTCTGGAAGGCTGGAGGGCAGGGGGACGGGTTAGGGGCTGGTAGAGTAGAACTCTCGACCCTAGATTAAAGTACTAGATCTCTGCTCTGGCCCATGTCTCTGTTGTTCAGAAAAGTTGAGAGAGGGATAGGAGAAGGCTTAATTCGCAGGGTTCCCCTGGGAAAGGGGCAGAGGTGACATGACTAGTTCCGTGAATGTTTGTGGGTGGATAATAATGATAATGAGCAGAACACTTGGCAGTCTTCCGTGAGGAACCTGAAATCGCTTCCCAGACGTTAGGTAGTTAGCCCTCCCCGCACTCCAGGGAGGTAAGGAAGTATTATGATTTGTAATGCCATAGCCCCTACTACAGTCTAAATAGGGCAACAAACAAAGGGTGGGAAGCGCAGAGAAGGGCAGTGACGTACCCGAGGCCACACAGCCTGGACAATGGCAGAGCCAGGATTAGAAGCCAGGTCTCCTGACTCCCAGATCCACAGCCTGTTTGCCAGACCTTGCTTCCTCCTGCTTGTTCTTCCCCTTGGAGAGTCTGAGGCACAGAATTGTTACAGGAGCTGCTCAACGGAGGGTGCTCAGTCCTCCATCTGCAGGGCAAAACTCCCTTGCAAGCTCCGACATCCTTCCATGGCCCTCTTTGTCTTCGTTTACAAGTGTCTCGCTTGTTCCTCGGCCGCTCGTGCGTTTTCACATAGATGCCTCTGCCGTTCATCCATCAGCAGGGAGTGTAATTAACTGTGGAGTCCAAGAATACACCTTTGATCAATGAATGGCGTTACGGAGATAATCTGTGTTGAATCTACAGAGAATTCTTGAGCAGTCCTACACTCTGTATCTAATTACCAGCTCCTGCTAGATCCTGTGCGTTCCTAATGAAACACAAGGTAACAGGGGAGAGCTGGCATCAGGCGCTTCTGCATGCCAGAGACAGCTCCCCTCTTTGGCCTGATGTGTCATCGATAAGTAATATCGATCAAGCCACGCTTTGGATAACCTCTCCCCAGCAGCTCAATTCGTTCTGTTCTCTGCATAATTATAGCTGGTAACTTTAAGACGTTGACTCTGCTTTTCAAATTGAAAGCAATCAAAGAGGTTAAAAAAGGAGCATTCCTTCTGCCACGCCAAGGGGTCTGAGCAGATTTCTGGTTTGATTTTTTCCCCCCCCCTCCCTCCCCCCCACTCCACTTCTGAAGCATTAAGCTGCCCGCTGATTAGACAAAGGGATACTCTGGGTTG